ATAGCGCATAAAGCTGCAGTCATGACCTTCTGGACTTCTGTTGCTTACTAACTCTTCTTGATATAAATCCCAGTAATCTATTTGCCTTATTTCGTTACACTTAGCATTGTTGTCTTGGTTTAAAGGTTGCTGCTTACCATAACCCCAAGTCCTCTTTTCGCAATCTGTATGGCTATGTTCTACATTATGCAACTATAAGGCTAGGGTTATGGACTATCCCGAGCTTCAGAACTTGCATTTATTACATTGACTGCATCTGCCACTTTTCTGGACCAAGAAGTAGGAGTTTGTCTATAATCCTCCTGAAGTTCCCCTAAAAACCATCTACGTTTGAATCAATCTCCTACCTAGTCTTCGGCGTATCGGCGAATTTTGCTCATATCCACTCAGTAATGTCCCACTCATCAAGATCATCGATATATATTATAAACAACAACGGGCCCAAGACTGATCCCTGTGAACACCACTTGTTACTGATCCCACTCGGATTTAACCCTCCATTTATGGACACTCTTTCCTTCTGTCTTTGAGCCATGAATTCGATCCCGAGAGCACCTTCCCCCAATGCCATGAGCTGCTCTTTCTTCAACTGTCTTTGAGTGTGGAATGTATCAATCACTTACTAAAAATCTAAAGTAAAATATCAAATTCTTTATCGTGGTCACAGCCTCAAATGCTTTATTGCCGAAGTTAATAAAATTAGTTGGACAAGACCGGCCTCTTGTGAATCCATGCTGAGTATCAATTAATGCAGCTATGCTTTATCGGGATGGCTTCTTATAATTTGAGTATAATTGACTCTAGTAATTGCCCTACTCAATTGTGGTTCAGCTTATTGGGCGGTAATTTGCGCGTAACGATCTTGTCCCGTTTTTAAAAATATAGGAATTACATTAGCATCTTCCAAATATTCAGACACTACACTGTTTGAAGACGATAAATTAAAAATATTAGTTAATGGATTCAAGACTGTTTCCATTTTGCTTTCCTTTAGAACCCTTTGAAAAAAAGACCTGATCCAGGAACCCGGTGACTTTTTTGCTTCAGTCGGCATCTGCTTCACATCCATTTCACTAGTTGACTGTGTTGTTACATAATTTATCTTCTTCTGGCCCACTATAAAAATGAATACCGGAAATTTTATTAGTGTCTTCTGTGTAAAACCAAGGAGAAATAATTATTTAAAATCGAGCACATTTCATTTCTTTTGTCAGTAAGATGCCCATAGTTATTTTAAGGGGACCTATCTTTTTCTGACTTTTGTTTATATACCTGGAAAAAAACTTTTTGGCGTTAGTTTAGAATCCCTAGCATACTTTAATTTCATAGTCCCTTTTAGCTTTTCTTAATTCCCCTTTTTTAATGTCCCTCTTAATGTCAACGATATGATTCATAAGATGACCCTCGCCTCTTTTGATACGCCTTTAAATTCCTTTCTTAAGCCCTAGTAGATATTTCAGCCTATTTTCATCCATTTTGGGCTTTTCTTTTTGATCTAATTTTTTAAAAGGGAAAATGTTCTTTGGGGGCAGCATGATTTTTTCAGAAAACTGCAATTGATACCTCTCTTCGTTACCCCGTAACAGAATAAGTGTTCTCTAAGCCCTCGTAAATTGCTACGGAAAATCGGGGACTTTTTTCGATTTATCCCTACTATCATACTTCCTTAAATTTTCTAAATGTAATTGATTTTGGTCCTAGCCCCCCATTCCTTGAAATTTTCAAAATTATTAACAAGGGTTTCATTTTTTTGCCAAATAAGTAAAGCAGGTTATTACCCCTTTAGGTTTTCCAAACCCAAAAAACAATCCGAACTCTTCAAAGAATCGTATGATTCTAAATTCCCCTCAAAAAATTTCCCAAACAAATGACAAAGTTTTAAAATCTCCTGAAAATTTCACATTATGTGCCTTGTGGCCCTAACAAATTTTCCCCCCTAGTAGTCTTCCCCGGTCCCCTATCTAAATTTTGGGGGACGGTAATCACACCCAAAGAAATTTTTTATGCCCTCTGAAAATTTTATCCAAACGACTCGTATGTGTTTCTTCGACTTAATACCCCTTTTAGGCAACAGTTCAAACGATCTCGGACAACAATGCCCCCCACCCCCTTCCCGATACTTCTATCTACTTGGAACAATTTGAAACCCTGAATGTGACATTTTGCAGGGGTCCCGACTTTTTTAATTAAACCCCGTCTCAGTAATGGCAAATAAAACTAAGTTACCTGCACTAGCAACTAGTCTCAACTCGTCCATCTTATTCCTAGCACTGCGACTATTTGTGTAATATATACTTAAGGACCCTCCTTTCTCTTTATCATTCCTGCTCCTTTCTGTTATTCCACTAAACCTATTACTGTCCTTGGCAATTAGTGCCACTGGCTTTCCGATATCCACCTCATTTTGCCTATTACTAGTTCTCCTAGTACTCATATTACTACCCTGAGACTTCACAGTTTTCCCGCAAAAACCCATACCACTAACTATTCCTAGTTTAAACACCTAACAGCTCCCTCCACTGCGTTGGCCAGTGCTCCCACCCCACACCTAGATAAGTGAACCCCATCCCTGGCATACATGTCATTTCTGCCATAGAAGAGGTCCCAGTTGCCAATGAATGTTACCGCATTTTCCTTACAGTATTTGTCCAGCCAGCAATTGACACCAATTGCTCTGGACAACCATTCATTTCCAACTCCTCTCCTTGGCAAAATGCCACATATGACAGGTTTCCCACCCTTCCTCCTAATTATCTCTATTGCTGACCTATACCTGCTAATCAGGTCCTCACTCCTACGTCTGCCAACATCGTTGCCTCCAGCACTGAGACAGATAATAGGATTGCTCCCATTACCTCTCATGATGTCATCCAGACGGCTAACAATATCCTTCATCCCTGCCCCAGAAAACACACTCTCTGCCTCCTACTCCTGTCCTTCAAGCAGAATGCCCTATCCATGTACCTAATCTGGCTATCCCCAACAACAACAATGTTTTTACCTTCCTTTGCGTCGTGCGTCGTGATGCTCCGAGTAGTCGACTCACATTCGCCAGGTAGCATTACACCACTTGTAGAATTCGTCAAGACGTTCTCGATGGTCTTCGTTGGGGTTTCTAGGGATGTCTCACTCACGTCTGCCAATGCTTCTTTGGTGCTCGTTGTGGCATTCCCAGTAGAACACTCACATTCGTCGGGTAGCACCGAGAATGGGTTAGAAGTTTCCACGGTAGTCTTCTGGTTTCTCATTGTTTCTGCCTCTCCAGCCGTTTTCTTGATCTTCAGCTTGGTTCCATGTTGCCCGGCCACTGACCAAGCTCCCCTCTTAACCTGGGGACTCACAACAGGAGGATTACTACGAATCCTCTTGTTCTCCTCCGTTAATCGCCGTATCTCCATCTTAGCAACTCTGAGCTCCTCTCTCAGCTGCTGGTAAAGTTGCTCAAGAGAGGGCATCCTGGTTCAGATTCACAGAGAGCACACAAACAGGTCTTCACAGAGCTAAGTACACGTCACCACTGACGTGTACTTAGAATGTGTACGAAGAATGAGGGGAGACCTGATAGAAGTGTATAAGTGGAAGATAGGTATTAATAAAGGGGATATTAATAGGGTCTTGAGGATGTCTCTCCAAGAGAGAACCCGCAGTAATGGACTTAAATTAGATAAGTTTAGATTTAGAAAGGACATAGGAAAGTACTGGTTTGGAAATAGGGTAGTTGATGAGTGGAACAGTCTACCTAGTTGGGTTATTGAGGCTGGGACTTTGGGTAGTTTCAAATTTAGGTTGGACAAGTACATGAGTGGGAGGGGTTGGATTTGAGTGGGACTTGCACATCAGAGCTTATTTCTTGGGTAGCATTGAAAAATGGGTTGGTCAAATGTTTTGTTAGTGGGATGAATTGTGAAGGACCTGCCTAGTATGGGCCAACAGGCCTCCTGCAGTGCTCCTCCTTTCTTATGTTCTTATTTAGAAAGGACATAGGAAAGTATTGGTTTGGAAATAGGGTAGTTGATGAGTGGAACAGTCTACCTAGTTGGGTTATTGAGGCTAGGACTTTGGGTAGTTTCAAATTTAGGTTGGATAAATACATGAGTGATAGAGGTTGGATTTGAGTGGGACTTGCACATCAGAGCTTATTTCTTGGGTAGCATTGAGGGTTGGGTTGGGCAAATGTTTTGTTGGTGGGATGAATTGTAAAGGACCTGCCTAGTATGGGCCAACAGGCCTGCTGCAGTGTTCCTCCTTTCTTATGTTCTTATAATGGCATGACCTGACCTGACCTGACCTGTCCTGGAAGCATCTGACCTGTCCTGGAAGCATCTGACCTGCCACAGCAGCACCTGATATGATCCAGCAGCATCTGACGTGTCCTAGAGGCATCTGACCTGCCACAGGAACACCTGACATGTCCTGAAAGCATCTAACCTGCCAGTAGTACCTGACACTTGGCAGGGCCTGATCTGTCAATGCAGAACCTGATCTATCCTAGCAGCACCTAACTAGTCCTGATGGTGCATGATCTGTCCTGGCAGTCCCTCATCTCCTACATATGCTTTATATAACACTTTTTTTATGTACAGTATTCATGTGCAATACATGTACTTGATACAGCTACCAGTGGATGAAACATCATATTAATAAAAAGTTTCTTTGCTAAAAGTGTTTTTTACCACCATCTGTCAGCTCATAACAATTCATTTACACTAGATGTAAAAAGTATGATGATACTAACAAGCTGTGAAGAAGGACAATTACGAATAGTTCTGGACTAATGAAGTTAGTCGTGGTGGAACATTTCCTTTAATAAATATCCTGAAATGTATATGCATTTATATCCATATATGCATTTACATCCATATGGTTGTGAACATATACAGAGGTGAATATGAAGATTTTAAATTGATAAATTTAAACACTAAAAAAAAATAAATGCTGGATATATATCTACTATAATTGTACTTTTTTCATTAATAAAACAGAAAAAATCTTACAATTACCTGTAACAGGAATAACAAGAACGATCTTTGTGTACTGGACATCCACTTCCACCACCAATGCCATACACATATTGATTGCTCTTAGATGAATGTTCAGCAAAGTAGATACCTGAAAATATTTTTAGATTAGTGAGTAGCTTCATCCAGATTAGTGGCATGGTACTGTTTAGTATCCAAATTAATATGAACTATTACATTACTACAAGACTCCTTTTTGAATTTGTAATCTTTAACAAGTAACAAAATCAGAACTTTCAAGTTATCGTGTGGGAGAGAATTTGAAGTTAGGAAATTTTTTATTATTTTTTTTTTTTATTATCACACTGGCCGATTCCCACCAAGGCAGGGTGGCCCGAAAAAGAAAAACTTTCACCATCATTCACTCCATCACTGTCTTGCCAGAAGGGTGCTTTACACTACAGTTTTTAAACTGCAACATTAACACCCCTCCTTCAGAGTGCAGGCACTGTACTTCCCATCTCCAGGACTCAAGTCCGGCCTGCCGGTTTCCCTGAATCCCTTCATAAATGTTACTTTGCTCACACTCCAACAGCACGTCAAGTATTAAAAACCATTTGTCTCCATTCACTCCTATCAAACACGCTCACGCATGCCTGCTGGAAGTCCAAGCCCCTCGCACACAAAACCTCCTTTACCCCCTCCCTCCAACCCTTCCTAGGCCGACCCCTACCCCGCCTTCCTTCCACTACAGACTGATACACTCTTGAAGTTATTCTGTTTCGCTCCATTCTCTCTACATGTCCGAACCACCTCAACAACCCTTCCTCAGCCCTCTGGACAACAGTTTTGGTAATCCCGCACCTCCTCCTAACTTCCAAACTACGAATTCTCTGCATTATATTCACACCACACATTGCCCTCAGACATGACATCTCCACTGCCTCCAGCCTTCTCCTCGCTGCAACATTCATCACCCATGCTTCACACCCATATAAGAGCGTTGGTAAAACTATACTCTCATACATTCCCCTCTTTGCCTCCAAGGACAAAGTTCTCTGTCTCCACAGACTCCTAAGTGTCACCACTCACTCTTTTTCCCTCATCAATTCTATGATTCACCTCATCTTTCATAGACCCATCCGCTGACACGTCCACTCCCAAATATCTGAATACGTTCACCTCCTCCATACTCTCTCCCTCCAATCTGATATTCAATCTTTCATCACCTAATCTTTTTGTTATCCTCATAACCTTACTCTTTCCTGTATTCACCTTTAATTTTCTTCTTTTGCACACCCTACCAAATTCATCCACCAATCTCTGCAGCTTCTCTTCAGAATCTCCCAAGAGCACAGTGTCATCAGGAAAATAAACTTTAAATAAAATTATATTTAAAATGTCAATCACCCGAGCATCACCTGTTGGCAAAATAATGTAAGTATCCCACCCCAAACTCTATTTCCTGAAGCTATTAAGCACAGTTCATATTACTGGTACAACTTTACAAGATTCAGATTCCTTAATTATTAGGGGCCAGTATCTAAAATGGGCAGGAACGTGCCAAGCTACAAAGACTTAGTAAATGTTAAAACAGCAAAACAGTATGCAAGTAGTGAGTGACTTTCAAAAACAATCAGACACATCCAAAGTAAAGAGAGCAAACGAGTTTCAGTCTTGGATCTTGAAAGAGTGAGGGAGGTGGGAAAAGGAACACTAAACAAATCCCCAGGATTTTAGTTTTTTACCACAAAAGCCATTTCTGCACCAAGGTAGCATGGTCCTATTCTCTATTATAATTCTGCTCCTACTGTAAGCATAATATTCACACCACACATTTTTGAACATGCCATGTGAAACTCTCATCTAGTCAATTAGCAATTACAAGGAGAAGGGATGAATGGGCCAAGACTTGAAGAAATGATGTGTTATCTGATTACTTAGCTGGTTCAGTTATCATAGAAAGTCTCAAAGCATTTATTGCTGTCACCTACACCCCAATGCCAAATAACAGAAGACATAGGTAAAAATATGACAAGAACAATGCAACAGCAACACTAAACATTGTTAATGAGCTGGCAGAAGAAACAGTAGTTTTTCAACCAAAGATATATATTGGAAAAACTGAAACCTACACAAGCATCCAGAGATATAAAGAATCAAGGTGATGACTGCATAAAGTGATTTCCTAAAACAATACGTATATTAAAATTGCAAAGAGTAAGAGAAAATGAACTTTTAGCAAAGGAGACTGAAAAAAGAATATTGAGTGCCTTTCAAGGCAAAGCTGAAGTTAAACTGGAGAAAAGAGGAGATAATGGAGAATCAAAAAGACTTATGTACAGAAAAAGTGATTATGAAGGGAGGAGTCATCTTCTGACTCAAGTAAAATGGAGTTATGAATTCTGGGGACTGTCCACTCAAGAAATTGCTATAATACTTCAACTAGAAGTGAAAGCAGCACAAACAAGTTTGTAACAACCATCAAGGGGATAGATAAAAAGCTCTAGGAGAACCCATGGTTCAATTGTCCACGTAAGGAAGCAAACTCTAGGAACACAAAAGCATGGAATAGGTACATAATGAACCCAAACCTAGAGAGTAGGGAAGCTAGCAAAAGAGTAAAAACAAAATATTATATGGCAGTGAGGAGGAAAACTTAATTTTTTTTTTTTAAATGGACATACAGTCTCTAGTAGAGCTCTCTCTATCTCTGCCCAGGGGATCTCAATGGGGTTTACATTTGAGGAATTTCCTGGCCATTTATCAAAGAAGGGTACTTCAGTCACAAAGACATTAAACAACAGATTTTGCAGTGTAGCAAGGAGCACTGTTTTCATAAAAATTTTGCACTACAAGTGAAAGATTTGGGTAAATAACAGACTAATTCTAGGTACGTTAGTACAGTTAGCATTAGTGGGCTTCCCTGACATGCTTTTTGGTGTGGCATGTCATGAACACTTTCCTCAAGGAACAGATGCAACCAGGTCCTTACTGGCCACAGACACACATCACTGCCTCCTGTTTGATGGCCTACCTTATATAATCCAATGATCTCTGCAATTGCCCATATTAATTCACCAATAGCCAAAAGTGTCCAACACACTTGACTCTCAAAAATACACAGTGCAGGGGGACCTCAGACACAAAACCATCCACCACAAGTCCAAAAAGCACATAGGATACAGCCACTAGCCATAGGAAATCCTGAGATATGCTGTTTTGAGTTGCCAAGCCAATATAACTTTTTGTCTCAGTGACAAGAATGGGACAACTAACATCTTATAAAACAAAGTGAAACTTGAGAAAGTGCAAAATAAAGCATCACAACTAATACCTGAGTTTAGGACAATGTGCTACTAAGTAAGAATACAAGAAATAGGCCTTTTTCACTGGAATATCAACAAGAGAGGAATATAATCACAACACAAAATAGTACTAAGAGGCCAAACAAGAACAAGAGAGTAATAGTTGGAAATTACACAATTAAATAAGTCAGAGAAAGCATTTCCCCAATTTAAGGTTGGTAAATAAGAAAGAGAAAAACAGACATAAATGCAGTATAATGCAATCCTTTATTAACAAGTTTTTCCCACACAGTAGGCTTTATCAAGTAACAAACAGATTTGTGACTTGATAAAGCCCACTGTGTGGGCAAACATGGTCAATAAAGGATTCCATTATAACGCATATTTGTGTCAATTTTTCCATCGTGTCTGAATTTTACACCATCAATCTCCAAGCAGAAAGAGCTAAGTATTGAGAAAGTGGAAGCAAATTTCATACAGTAATTCAAAAATAGTTATGACAGAGCTCAATCATAATAGTTAGTCAAACACTAAGAGGCAGGACCAAGAGCTCAAGCTCATCCCTGCAAACTCAAATAAATAATTATACAAAAAAATTCAAGAAAGATATCCAAGGTTTATTACCACACTGATACACAGCTGAGAAGCAAGAGTTATGAGGCAAGACTCTGCAAACTAAATATTCCCATACTGTGAGAACACATGAACAGTATTATCACAATATACAAACTACTACTGATCAGACATGAGAGACAATCACAGATTGACACAGGAGATAACAGAACATGGATGAAGGCTTTATATCCAATACAGCCAGAAACAATATATAGTTCTTTTGTGGTAAAGCGAAGAAATTTAATAAACTAGTAAGTGATGTAGTGAAGGCTGATGTCATGAATGAATTCAAAAAAAATATGAGGCATAAATGTCATCTGATAGTCTATAAGTTAAAAGATGACCCCAGTAGGTAAAGCTCAATCTCCACAAACTTAACTAGGTAATTACATAGATAAACTTTGATAAGGCTTTGTGACATGAGTGTAGTAACTAACCTGCACCAAACATTCCACCAATATAAGCATGCCTTTCATCAAAGCCCTTTTGCACAATGGCAGAAATAAAAGGAGAGCCATGGAAAAGCATTCTTTCAGTGGACTGCCCATTACTTTCTTCCGCCACTTCCCGCCTTCGATGTGCATAGCGCTCCCACAAACGTTTATTTCTAACCTTCTGAATCTGGAGAAATAAAAAAGAAAATGGATAAGTACAAGAATAATCACAATTCATGTTTCACACAAATAAAAACAAATGATTCAGCAAAAGGGTAATCAGCATGCATATTGGTGTCTGAAGGAAGCTACACACATTGATACAACTGCCACCAAAGGCTTAAAATAAACATGCATGAACAAAGCCAATTCATGAAAGATGAAGGATTCCATAGAGAACCCCTCTTTATAGAAGTGTTGACAATGATGATATCAGGATATCAAGTAGTTAAGAATAAGAAAAAGAAAAAGAAATGAGAAATGGCTAGAGGACCACTGTAGCCAGGCTTACGTAGCTTCTAATCAAACAAGGTGACAAGATCTTCCTCAAAGAATATAAGAGAGAGACTGGACTTCCCTGACAACACTCAGTTTGCTGGGTGACTCATTTCCAGTACTGAGGGCTATCACACCTTGAAAGGATCTTTGTGTATTAATTACCACTGTTTCTCAACAACTTCTGGTTCTATCTCTTTCCTTGCTGATGAAGTTGGCACTTTTTCCAGCCATAAGTTATGAATGTTTGTCTTGGTGGACAACACATGCTTTGCTGGTGTTATGAATTCTTCAAGCATATTGGTGTAGGTAGGACAACTCTTAGCATGTACATTCAACAGCATAAAAAAACTGAGATGGAAAGAAATAATCCCTGCAATATAATATGAAAATGATAATTCAAATTCTTATTTCTTTCCACAAACCAGCCGTATCCCACCGAGGCAGGCGGTCCAAAAAAAAAAATGAAAGTTTCTCTTTTTAAATTTAGAAATGCATATAGGAAAAGGGGTTACTAGCCCCTTGCTCCCCGCATTTTAGTTGCCTCTTACAACGTACACGGCTTATGGAGGAAGAATTCTGTTCCACTTCCTCATGGAGAAAAGATGAAATAAACAAGAACTAGTAAGAAAATAGAAGAAAACCCAGAAGGGTGTGTATATATATGCTTGTACATGCAAGTGTAGTGTGATCTAAGTGTAAGTAGAAGTAACAAGACATACCTGAAATCTCGCATGTTTATGAGACAGAAAGAAGACACCAGCAATCCTACCATCATGTAAAACAATTACAGGTTTCCATTTTACATTCACTTGGCAGGGCAGTAGTACCTCCTTGGGTGGCTGCTGTTTACCAACCTACTACCTAAGCACAATTCAAATTCTTCTTCTTTCAACAAACCGGCTGTATCCCACCGAGGCAGGGTGGCCCAAAACGAAAAATGAAAGTTTCTCCTTTTAAATTTAGTAATATAAATAGGAGAAGGGGTTACTAGACTCTTGCTCCTGGCATTTTAGTCGCCTCCTACAACACGCATGACTAACGGAGGAAGAATTCTGTTCCACTTTCCCATGGAGATAACAGGAAATAAACAAGAACATGAACTAGTAAAAAGACAAGAAAACCCAAAGGGGTATGTATATATAACACCTTCCTGTTAACCTTTTATTTTTATAGTTCCTGATAATGTGAGAAGTCATGAAAGCACTTGAAATTTCACTATTTTGTCACAGTGGTTGGTCTGCATATATATGCTTGTACATGTATGTGTAGTGTGACCTAAGTGTAAGGAGAAGTAGCAAGACGTACCTGAAATCTTGCATATTTATGAGACAGAAAAAAAGACACCAGCAATCCTACCATCATGTAAAACAATTACAGGCTTCCATTTTACACTCACTTGGCAAGATGGTAGTACCTCCCTGGGCAGTTTGTGTCTACCAACCTACTATATAGGACAATTCAAATTACCTTAACAATATTATACTTGGCAAAGACTCCTCCTGCATGACCATTATCTCTATGTTCTCGTATAGTGGCCTGCATCTCCTCCTCCACTGCAATAAACTCTCTGTCCTCTCGACAAAGGTCAAGTAATAAAGTACCCTGAGATGATCCATTTCCACCGTTATTATTACTACATCCACTCCCTACTAAGCCATCTGTTGATAGAAAATTTATTAGTAAAATAAAATTAAAAACAATAATAGTAATAATTCAAAATCATCAATAATAGCTCAAAATTACAGTAATATAAAAGTGAACATCTTAGGAAATTTCAAACTGAGATAAAGTCAAATAATATAAATAAACTATAATGATGAAATTCATAAATCATGCCACAGAACTGTTACAATTAGAAATGTATAAAAAATTATACAAAGTAATCATTTTCACACACAAAAAAAATTCTTACTATGTTGAATAAGCAACTTCTCAACGCCCTTGAGCAGCTTATGTCGGTGGCCATATGCATTGATTCCTATAGTTTTAAGCTCTTCATGACCCATTTCTGCTAAGATATCCAATGTTATGTCCTCTCTTTCAAATATATCTCGCAGGTGTTCCAGACCTAAACTGTGAGGGGGTAAAAAAAAAAAATATAGCAAATTTGTAACTGTGTTCTGAACAGGGTCTACCACATAACAGAATATATACTGTAAAAACAATATATACAAATTTGGAAGGGCATATAAGAAAAAGAAATTAAAAGTGAACACAGAAAAAAGGAAGGTGACTAAGGAAACAAAAAAGTCTAGGCACAGGTTAGATTTTTAGATTTTGCCACCGAAGTGGCTAGTTTATTATGCACCTCATATCCATTCTGTGTATGGTACAACAGGAGCATATGGATACACAAAAGACCTAGGAACTAGGCCCCAAAAGGATTAACAGGAGTACATCTGGATTTATATCTACAGTTCACTTATCTGTCACAAGCAAATTTAGGAAATTTGCTTAATATATCTGGTATTTTCATTAATAAGATATCTTGACATGTCACATTTTGTTATTATACTGTATCTCTATATTCCTCAATAAGTGGACAATTAAGCATCTAGGTAAAGACAGACTGAATACCACATTTGAGGGAGGGAGCATGGAGAAAGTGAATGCATTTTGATATCTGGGAGAGGACATAGAAGACAGGTCTACAAAAAGAAGAGCTGAATAACAGATCAGGTAAGGCAACAAAAAATGGATGGTATGTTGAGGTATCTGTAGAAAGAAATTTATTTTTAGGGAAAAAAAAAATGTACAGGAGAGCCCCACTTGTATAGCAGATTAGGTACCGGGCTACAGCTGTAAAGCAAAAGTTGCTGCAAAGTGAAACACAGCCTTATTTTTTTTACTTGCAAATGCAAATAAAAGCCTGATAACATGTTTACACTATCATATATTAAGTGAGCAATATAGCTAGGCCTAAAAAATGCATATACAATACACACATTACTTACCTTAAAATATTTTCAACCTTAGCTTATAGTGAGTAGTGAATATATTCATTGCAGGAAGTCCGAATAAATGAAGAATGGATATAAGTGAAAAACCACTGCATTAGTGAAATGCTGTAAAGTTGGGCCCACCTATATCAACACTTTTATACAGGTGCGAGGCATGGGTGTTGAATGTAACAGTGAGGAGGCAACTAGAGGCAATGGAAATGTCATGCTTGAGAGCAATGTATAATGTAAATATCACGCAGAGTTAGGAGCATATAAATTAATAGGGTCTGTGGGATTACCAAGGGTATATATATAATTCAGGGGGATAAGAAGTTACAGATGTGGTCTGGGAACATAGAGTGGATAGGGAGGGATAGGATGAAGAAGAGGGCATATAAATCTGGGGTGGAATGCAGGTAGGGAGGTGTCATTTCAGCAGTGGTTGGAGGAAGAAAGTAAAAAAGGCATTATGTTTGGTATATTGCTGGTGTGGTTAGTTTCTATTTTTGTACAACTGTATTAAGTATATAATGTGAACTTTCATATTACTCTTTTCAAAAGTCGCTCAATTTTTATCTCTATTGTTTTTGGATCTGCACATCTGACAAGACAACTGCTGAATGAATGACGGCAAATGTGATTCCTTTTCTTTGGTCACCTATCTTAATGGGAAATGTCCAATGAGGTTATAGAAAATGTAATGCATGAAAATATCAGCATTTATACTGATATTCTCCTATGAAATGTGCAGCTTTGAGCTGAAAGAGAATGAATAGATTTAAAAAGTGAAGAACAAAGACACTGGCACAGCCAACAGGAGTTATTACTCAAACATCACAACCTTGCCCCACTCTGCCATACTAGGCTTCAAGGCCACCATAACATCCATCAGGAATTATTACTCAAACATCACAACCTTGCCCCATTCTGTCATACTAGGCTTCAAGGCCACCATAACATCCATCAGGAGTTATTACTCAAACAACACAACCTTGCCCCACTCTGTCATACTAGGCTTCAAGGCCAGCATAACATTTAATATACAGTACTACTAAATCAAGCAGAATAAACACTTCATTATCTAACATGAAAAATGAAAATTACCTATTGAGGAATGAGGCAATACTCATATTAACTGGTGTACCAGGCGTTGTTTCACAGCGAGAGTGATCACAGCAACCATCACCAACACCCGGTGATGAGCACATTACTGGAGTGAAGGTTAAACTGGCACCAGACGGCATCATTACAGTTTCAACTGAAAAAAATACTCATTTGATGACGTTAATAATGCACAAACATTTTCTAAAATTTAAATTCACAACTAACTCACAATTTGGAGAAAAAACTTTAGATGTAATTTCAGTTCATCCTGGGCTATTATCAACTTCTAAGCACCATAAGAGAGAAAAGGGAAGAATGGCAGAAAAGAGGTAAGATGAATAGATGAAAAGAAAATCAAGGTTACAAGATTTTAACATGAATAGAAATAGAAACAAACCATTTTCAAACAAGTAAATAATGACTACTTGCCCTCCATATCCACAGCTTCCTCATCCGTGAATCGAAATATTAAAAAAAAATCCAGAAAGTTCCAAAAAAGAAAAATTTGAATTTGCTGCGTGTAGAGCACTACAGTGAATCCATGCAAATGAAGTGATGTGTAGATAAACAATGCTCATTATTTGAGCATTGTTTGCCTCGTGCTTGATTTACCAAAGTGGGCTATAAGGTCAATAAGAATGAATCGAGCATTCACATAATAAAGCACAAAGAAGCCGAAATTCATGGAAATGTTAGTGCTGCCCCTACAATGGCAAAAATGGTCTCTCTGGTTCATGATAAAATGCTTGCAAAGACTGAGAAAGCATTAAGTATGTGACTAGAGGACACATCACCAAAGCATATCCCCGATGATAGCAAAATTGTGTGTGAAAAAGCACTTTGCCTCTATGAGCACTACTGTGAGGGGGCAGCTGAGAAGAGCAAGAGAAATAAGGCTAGTAAGGGATGGCTGGCTAGCTATGTAAAGCGCTACAGCCTCAAGAACTTAAGAGATAATGGGAGAATCTGCATCGACTGATGCTTAGGCAGCATCAGCGTTCCCAGAAGAGCTCAAGAAACTCACAGAAGAGCAAGTCTTCAGTTGTGATGAAATGGGCTTGTTCTGGAAGATGTCCAATTGTACCTATATCCATAAGAGCACAAAGCAGGCCCCAGGGTTCAAGGCCTGGAAATATTGCCTCACTCTGGTGCTGCGTGGCAATGCAGCAAGTCACAAGATCAAGCCAGGCCTCATCTACTGAGCAAGCAATCCCTGGGCCCTTTAAAACAAAAACAAATATTGCCTGCCTGTGTTCTGGTAACACAACAAGAAGGCTTGGGTGATGGCCATCTTGTTCATGGAATGGCTCCACCAGTGTTTCATTCCTGAAGTGAAGAAGTACGTACTTTGAAGAGAAGCGGCTGCCATTCAAGGTCCAGCCATTCCCAATCTCTCACTTTTGCTGACACAGAAGTGATGTTCCTGCCTCCTAACTGCTGCAGCCACTTGATCAAGGCATCATCAAGTGAATTAAGGCGACTTGCCTGCCTCACCTTCGGGAGGAGCTGTGCTGCCCTTGATAACCCTGACTGTAGCATCATGTATTTATGGAAGAGCTTCACTATTGCAAAGGCTGTAGATGCTCTAAAGCCCGAGACAGTCAATGCAAGTTGGAAGCCATTATGGAGTGAGGTACTCAGTGATCTGAGGGGATTCCCCAATACTGATGCAGAAGTCAGGAATATCTTGAATATTGCAAGGGAAATTGGTGGGGAAGGCTTCAAAGACATGATCGAGAAAGATGTTGAGGAACACATAGAAGAGTATAGAGAAACCCTTATCAACGAGGAACTCCAAGATCTGCTGAAATCCTCTACAGAAGATGATGATGACCATGATAATGCAGAAGATTTAGAGGAGGCAGAGCCACCAATCTGGACACTTGAAAAATTTGCAGCAGTTTTTCAACAGGCACAAATGTTACAGGATATTATCATTTAGTGGAATGAAGCTCCATATCACCCAAGGAATAACAACATGCCTACAACCACTGAAAGATTTGTCAGATGCAAAGAAAAACAATAAACAACTTCCTATAACAATGCTCCTAACTAAAACATCTGCAACAGTGAAGCCTCGACCTTCAATGCTTGAAGATCCTCAGCCCTCAACCTCTACAGATCCTCCAATGCATCAACGTCTGCAATCGGAACCTGGTTCTTCCAACACAGATGATCTTTCTGATGTCCTGTCAAAAGGTTCAAGTTAGTCTGATATCTCACCGATTACCTACAGTACCACACATCTCATCACCTCACCACATCAAGCACTGTAGGTACCATACAGCAATCATCATCATTGTCAACAAGAGAGAAGAACCAGGGTTTTGGCAAGTGTCATCATTATTCTCTAAACAATACAGTATAGCAACTATTTACATAGCATTTACATTGTATTAGGTATTATAAGTAATCTGGAGATGATCTAAAGCATACGGGAGGATGTGTGTAGGTTATATGCAAATACGTGTACTATGCCATTTAATATAAGGGACTTGAGAATCCACAGATTTTGGTATCTGTGGGGAAAAATAAACCAATCCCACGTGGATACTGAGGGATGACTGTATATGCGTGTTAAGCATGGGTTGTAAATGCTGCAGCGAGGAGGACGTTAGAGGCAGTGAAGATGTCATGTCTAAGGGCAATGTGTAATGCAAATACTATGCAGAGAATTTGTAAACCATACCCCCGGCCGGGATTGAACCCGCGGTCATAGAGTCTCAAAACTCCAGCCCGTCGCGCTAGCCACTAGACCAGCTAGCCACAATAAGATTCATCCAACTAGGTATATTTCTACACCATAGGAAAGTTAGCACAGGCACCTCTGTGACCACAAATGCAAGTTTTTACAGACGAATCTCCAGCTAGGTAGAAATATACCTAGTTGGATGAATCTTATTGTGGCTAGCTGGTCTAGTGGCTAACGCGACGGGCTGGAGTTTTGAGACTCTATGACCGCGGGTTCAATCCCGGCCGGGGGTATGGTTTATTTGCAATCGTGTCATTACAATTTCGCGAGAATTTGTAGTTTGCTGATTAGGAGGAGGAGGTGCAAAGTTACTAAAGTATTATCCAGAGGGTTGAGAAGGAGCTGTTGAGGTGGTATGGTCATTGAGAGAGGATGGGGGCCAAATAGGATGACTTGGGGGTGCATAAATTTGTAGTGGAGGGAGTTATCCTAGAAAAGGATGGAGGGAGGGGATAAGAGAGGTTTTGTGTGTAAGGGGTTTAGACATCCAGCAAGCATGTGTAAGCATGTTAGATAGAAGTGGAGGCAAGTGGTTTTTGTGACTTGATGTACTACTGGAGTGTTAGCAAAGTAACATTTATGAAGGTATTCAGGAAAACTGGTTAGCCAGACCAGAGTCATGGGATAGGAAGTACAGTGCCTGCACTCTAAAGGAGGGGGTGACGGTATTTGATGTCTGGAGGGACATTTGAACTGTCGTATCTGTGCGTCTCTGGTGCACAGATATGAGTGATAGTGTGAGTGATAGTGAAAGTTTCTTTTTCAGGTCACCCTGACTCAGTGAGAGATGGTCAGTGTTAAAAAGAAATTAGTTCTGGGAGTTACCATACTCATAGATAAATCACAAAAAATCCAAAGACTTGCTACAAAACTGCTCCCAGAGGTGAGAAAAAAGATGAGTTCTTCAGATTCAAAAACACTAAAAATTCCCAGGTTGGCTAAAAGATTAAAATAGGAGATATGATAAACTCACTTAAGATCATAAAAGCATATACTAAATTTGAAAAAAAAAAATGACAAGGACTTCTTAGTACCACAAGTAAGAAAAACAAAAATGCCCCACCTTTAAGTCAAGAAAAAATCTGATGACATGAGAAAGCACTTCTCCACAAATAATGTGATAAAAAGCTTGCTGAAATAACAGCCAAAAGGTAGGTAGTATGTGATACAACCACTGAAAATTAAAATTACATGACAAACTAAATACTGAGGATGAGACCTATTAACAACTCTCTTCCTGTAGCTATAAAATTAGATAATTACAAACAAGTAAGCACATGCAATACCTACCCAGTCATCCCTCACATCCCTTCACTAATCATGTTAAAACTTTTGATTCCTGTCTCCTTCAATATTCATTTCATTATACAGTCTCTCCTCAGATAGCGACAGAGCTCCATTCCGAAGAGTAGGTTGGTAAACAAATTGGTTGTTAAGTAAAGAGCATACTATACTGGTAGTGGGTTTGTGTCAACCATCTTAAGATATTGTTTTAATGTCACCCTTGCACCATTTATAAAATTTTTAGTATATTTTTAAATGTTTATACAGTAGTGTACTGTATATTGTGATAAACAGAACAGAGGAAACCAGCTCTAATATACATACACTTTACTTAGGTATGCATATTGGTCAGAGAACTGGTCATAAGTCCGAGCGGTTGTTAAATGAGTACATCATTAAGTGAGGAGAGACTGTATTACAATACTAATGTGTTATTGCATTTAGCAACTTTCTTCCAACACCATAGACTCAAGTAAAATATTATAATGCATTTCAGTCCATTAATAGAAATACCTTCAGCCCCAATATTGTTGATGGATATTAAAGATGGTGCTGGAGACACTGTTGACTGTGAGGCTGCTTTGGAAGGTGTGCCTGGAGGTTTGGGTGATGAAGGAGACACTGGTGGAGGAGCTATTCCTCCACTAGCAGGTGTTAGACTGGGCTGACTCATCATAGCATCTTGCAGTAAACTTCTTACATCATCTGCTGTTGCTAGGTGAAGAGGAGTTTGACCCTCCTAGAACAAGTAATTATTCTAATAAAATATAAAAACAGTATAAACTTTTCTCCATTGATCTAATATTGTGTATCTTTACTTTGTTCCCTGAAAATGTTTACAAGAAACACCATGTCAAGAGTACAGACAATAACATGTGATATTTTGTTTTACAGTGCATAATGAAATCTGATTTCATAAAGAAATATACTGTACTGTAAAATAAAAACAGAATATGAAATATAGTATAGTTACATAGTATAGTTATGCTTTTGTCTACCTACCTTACTTTAAATAAAAAAAAAAGGCACAATACTATGAGTGGAACAATACACCAATAACCCACACGTACATGACTGAAACTTATGACGATGTTTCGGTCCAACTTGGACCATTAAGTTTAAAGTTGCTCTTCCTACAAAGAGAAACTCAAAATGAATGCCAAACATTTAGTTTTCTTGAAAATTTTGAAAATATCTTAAACAATATTTAGATAAAGGTAGGGAAGTTTTCACTGCATTTATGGATTTAGAAAAGGCATATGATAGAGTGGATAGAGGAGCAATGTGGCAGATGTTCCAAGTATATGGAATAGGTGGTAAGTTACTAAATGCTGTAAGTTTTTATGAGGAGAGTGAGGCTCAGGTTAGTGTGTGTAGGAGAGAGGGAGATTACTTTCTAGTAAAAGTAGGACTTAGACAGGGATGTGTAATATCACCATGGTTGTTTAACATATTTATAGATGGAGTTGTAAAAGAAGTAAATGCTAGGGTGTAGGAGAGAGGCGTGAGAGTGAGAGGTGACACAGATACTTTTTGCTGATGATACTGTGCTTTTGGGAGATTCTAAAGAGAAGTTGCAAAGGTTAGTGGACGAGTCTTGAAGGGTGAGTAAAGAAAGAAAGCTGAAAGTGAACACAGATAAGGGTAAGGTGATGAGGGTATCAAACAAGTTAGGTAAAGAAAAATTAGATATCACATTGGAGGGAGTATGCAAGAAGTGAATGTGTTCATATATTTGGGAATAGATCTGTCAGCAGATGGATTTATGAAGGACAAGGTTAACCATATAGGTAAGAGGTTGGTAGACAGCAACCGCCCAGGGAGGTACTACCGTCCTGCCAAGTGAGTATAAAACGGAAGCCTGTATTCGTTTTACATGATGGTAGGATTGCTGGTGTCTTTTCTCTGTCTCATAAACATGCAATATTTCAGGTACATCTTGCTACTTCTACTTACACTTAGGTCACACTACATATACATGTTTTTTTTTTTTTTCATCAAGTCGGCCGTCTCCCACAGAGGCAGGGTGACCCAAAAAAGAAAGAAAATCCCCAAAAAGAAAATACTTTCATCATTCAACACTTTCACCACACTCACACATTATCACTGCTTTTGCAGAGGTGCTCAGAATACAACAGTTTAGAAGCATATACGTATAAAGATACACAACATATCCCTCCAAACTGCCAATATCCCAAACCCCTCCTTTAAAGTGCAGGTATTGTACTTCCCATTTCCAGGACTCAAGTCCGACTATATGAAAATAACCGGTTTCCCTGAATCCCTTCACTAAATATTACCCTGCTCACACTCCAACAGATCGTCAGGTCCCAAGTATCATTCGTCTCCATTCACTCCTATCTAACACGCTCATTTCACGCTTGCTGGAAGTCCAAGCCCCTTGCCCACAAAACCTCCTTTACCCCCTCTTTCCAACCCTTTCAAGGACAACCCCTACCCCTCCTTCCTTCCCCTATAGATTTATATGCTTTCCATGTCATTCTACTTTGATCCATTCTCTCTAAATGACCAAACCACCTCAACAACCCCTCTTCTGCCCTCTGACTAATTCTTTTATTAACTCCACACCTTCTCCTAATTTCCACACTCCGAATTTTCTGCATAATATTTACACCACACATTGCCCTTAGACAGGACATCTCCACTGCCTCCAACCGTCTCCTCGCTGCTGCATTTACCACCCAAGCTTCACATCCATATAAGAGTGTTGGTACTACTATACTTTCATATATTCCCTTCTTTGCCTCCATAGATAACTTTTTTTGACTCCACATATACCTCAATGCACCACTCACCTTTTTTTTCCCTCATCAATTCTATGATTAACCTCATCCTTCATAAACCCATCCGCCGACACGTCAACTCCCAAGTATCTGAAAACATTCACTTCTTCCATACTCCTCCTCCCCAATTTGATATCCAATTTTTCTTTATCTAAATCATTTGATACCCTCATCACCTTACTCTTTTCTATGTTCACTTTCAACTTTCTACCTTTACACACATTCTCAAACTCATCCACTAACCTTTGCAATTTTTCTTTAGAATCTCCCATAAGCACAGTATCATCAGCAAAAAGTAACTGTGTCAGTTCCCATTTTGAATTTGATTCCCCATAATTTAATCCCACCCCTCTCCCGAACACCCTAGCATTTACTTCTTTTACAAACCCATCTATAAGTACAGTATATTAAACAACCATGGTGACATTACACATCCCTGTCTAAGACCTACTTTTACCGGGAAGTATTCTCCCTCTCTTCTACATACCCTAACCTGAGCCTCACTATCCTCATAAAAGCTCTTTACAGCATTTAGTAACTTACCACCTATTCCATATACTTGCAACATCTGCCACATTGCTCCTCTATCCACTCTATCATATGCCTTTTCTAAATCCATAAATGCAATAAAAACTTCCCTACCTTTATCTAAATACTGTTCACATATATGCTTCAATGTAAACACTTGATCTACACATCCCCTACCCACTCTGAAGCCTCCCTGCTCATCCGCAATCCTACATTGTCTTACCTCTAATTCTTTCAATTATAACCCTACCGTATACTTTTCTTGGTATATTCAGTAAACTTATTCCTCTATAATTTTTACAATCTCTTTTGTCCCCTTTCCCTTTATATAAAGGGACTATACATGCTCTCTGCCAATCCCTAGGTACCTTCCCCTCTTTCATACATTTATTAAACAAAAGTACCAACCACTCCAACACTATATCCCCCCCCCTGCTTTTAACATTTCTGTCATGATCCCATCAGTTCCAGCTGCTTTACCCCCTTTCATTCTACGTAATGCCTCACGTACCTCCACCACACTTACATTCTGCTCTTCTTCATTCCTAAAAGATGGTATACCTCCCTGGCCAGTGCATGAAATTACCACCTCCCTTTCTTCCTCAACATTTAAAAGTTCCTCAAAATATTCTCGCCATCTACCTAATACCTCCCTCTCCCCATCTACTAACTCCCCTACTCTGTTTTTAACTGACAAATCCATACTTTCCCTAGGCTTTCATAACTTGTTTAACTCACTCCAAATTTTTTTTTTATTTTCATTAAAATTTCTTGACAGTGCCTCTCCCACTCTATCATCTGCTCTCCTTTTGCACTCTCTCACCACTCTCTTCACCTTTCTTTTACTCTCCATATACTCTGCTCTTCTTATAACACTTCTGCTTTGTAAAAACCTCTCGTAAGCTACCTTTTTCTCTTTTATCACACCCTTTACTTCATCATTCCACCAATCACTCCTCTTTCCTCCTGCCCAAACCCTCCTATAACCACAAACTTCTGCCCCACATTCTAATACTGCATTTTTAAAACTATTCCAACCCTCTTCAACCCCCCGACTACTCATCTTTGCACTAGCCCATCTTTCTTCCAATAGTCGCTTATATCTCACCCGAACTTCCTCCTCCCTTAGTTTATACACTTTCACCTCCCTCTTACTTGTTGTTGCCACCTTCCTCTTTTCCCATCTACCTCTTACTCTAACTGTAGCTACAACTAAATAATCATCCGATATATCAGTTGCCCCTCTATAAACATGTACATCCTGGAGCCTACCCATCAACCTTTTATCCACCAATACATAATCTAAACAAACTACTTTCATTACGTGCTACATCATACCTTATATATTATTTATCCTCTTTTTCATAAAATATGTATTACTTATTACCAAATTTCTTTCTACACATAGCTCAATTAAAGGCTCCCCATTTACATTTACCCTGGCACCCCAAATTTACCTACTACTACTCCCTCCATAACATTTTTACCCACTTTAGCATTGAAATCCCCAACCACCATTACTCTCACACTTGATTCAAAACTCCCCACGCATTCACTCAACATTTCCCAGAATCTCTCTCTCTCCTCTACACTTCTCTCTTCTCCAGGTGCATACACGCTTACTATAACCCACTTTTCACATCCAATCTTTATTTTGCTTCACATAATCCTTGAATTTATACATTTGTAGACCCTCTTTTCCTGCCATAGCTTATCCTTCAACATTTTTGCTACTCTTCTTTCTTTAGCTCTAATTCTACTTGAAACCCCTGACCTAATCCCATTTATTCCTCTCCATTGAAACTCTCCCACCCCCTTCAGCTTTGTTTCACTTAAAGCCAGGACATCCAGTTTCTTCTCATTCATAACATCCACAATCATCTCTTTCTTATCATTTGCACAACATCCACGCACATTCAGACTTCCCACTTTGACAATTTTCTTCTTCTTATTCTTTTTAGTAATCTTTACAGGAAAAGGGGTTACTAGCCCATTGTTCCCGGCATTTTAGTTGACTTTTACAACACGCATGGCTTACGGAGGAAAGATTCTTATTCCACTTCCCCATGGATATAAAAGGAAAAGTAATAAGACCAAGAACTATTAAGATAAAAATCAAAGAAAACTCAGATGAGTGTGTATAAATAAACGTGTACATGTATGTGTAGTGTGACCTAAGTGTAAGTAGAAGTAGCAAGACATGCCTGTAATCTTGCATATTTATGAGACAGACAAAAGACACCAGCAATCCTACCATCATGTAAAACAATTACAGGCTTTCGTTTTACACTCACTTGGTAGGACGGTAGTACCTCCCTGGGTGGTTGCTGTCTACCAACCTACTACAAGCATATATACAGTGGACCCCCGCATAACGATTACCTCCGAATGCGACCAATTATGTAAGTGTAATTATGTAAGTGTGTTTCTACGTGTATGTTTGGGGGTCTGAAATGGACTAATCTACTTCACAATATTCCTTATGGGAACAAATTCGGTCAGTACTGGCACCTGAACATACTTCTGGAGTGAAAAAATATCGTTAACCGGGGTCCACTGTATATATATATATCTATATATATAATATAATATATATATATATATATATATATATATATAATAATCTTTCTTTCTTTCAACACACCGGCCGTATCCCACCGAGGCGGGGTGGCCCAAAAGGAAAAACGAAAGTTTCTCCTTTTACATTTAGTAATATATACAGGAGAAGAGGTTACTAGCCCCTTGCTCCCGGCATTTTAGTTGCCTCTTACAACACGCATGGCTTACGGAGGAAGAATTCTGTTCCACTTCCCCATGGAGATAAGAGGAAATAAACAAGAATAAGAACTAGAAAGAAAATAGAAGAAAACCCAGAGGGGTGTGTATATATGTGCTTGTACATGTATGTGTAGTGTGACCTAAGTGTAAGTAGAAGTAGCAAGACGTACCTGAAATCTTGCATGTTCATGAGACAGAAAAAAGGACACCAGCAATCCTACCATCATGTAAAACAATTACAGGCTTTCGTTTTACACTCACTTGGTAGGACGGTAGTACCTCCCTGGGTGGTTGCTGTCTACCAACCTACTACAAGCATATATACAGTGGACCCCCGCATAACGATTACCTCCGAATGCGACCAATTATGTAAGTGTAATTATGTAAGTGTGTTTCTACGTGTATGTTTGGGGGTCTGAAATGGACTAATCTACTTCACAATATTCCTTATGGGAACAAATTCGGTCAGTACTGGCACCTGAACATACTTCTGGAGTGAAAAAATATCGTTAAACCGGGGTCCACTGTATATATATATATCTATAAATATATATATATATATATATATATATATATATATATAATATATATATAAATATATATATATATAATATATAATATACACACACCCCTCTGGGTTTTCTTCTATTTTCTTACTAGTTCTTGTTCTTGTTTATTTCCTGTTATCTCAATGGGGAAGTGGAACAGAATTCTTCCTCTGTAAGCCATGCGTGTTGTAAGAGGCAACTAAAATGCAGGGAGCAAGGGGCTAGTAATCCCTTTTCCTGTATAAATTACTAAATTTAAAAAGAGAAACTTGTTTTTCTTTTTGGGCCACCCTGCCTTGGTAGGATGCGGCTGGTTTGTCGAAAGGAGGAGGTTAACCATAGAACTGATGAAGAAAAAAACATGAGTGGTGAGCCGAGGTATCTGTGGAGATAAAAAATGTTATCCATGTAGGCAAAGAAGGGAATGTACGATAGTACAGTGGTACCAACACTCTTGTATGGGTGTTAGGCATGATTTGTGAATGCTGCAGTGACGAAGAGGCTGGAGATGTCTTGTCTAAGGGTAATGTGTGGTGTAAATATTATACAGAGAATTCGTAGTGCAGAAATTAGGAGGTGTGGATTTACTAAAAGTATTATTCAGAGGGCTGAGGAGGGGTTGTTGAGATGGTCTGATCATTTAGAGAGGATGCAGCAAAATAGGATAACTTGGAGGGTGTATAAGATCTGTAGTGGAGGGAAGGAGAGGTAGGAGTCATCCTAGAAAAGCATGGAGGGAGGGGTTAAAATAGGCCTTGTGTGCTTGGACATACAGCAGGCATGTGTGAGCATATTAGATAGGAATGGAGAAGAATGGTTTTTGTTACTTGACAAGCTGTTGGAGTCTGAGCAGGGTAGTATTTTGTAAAGGGATTCAGGGAAACCAGTTAGTTTTACTCGAGTCTTGGAGGTGGGAAGTACAATGCCTGCACTTTACAGGAGTTTGGGATATTGTGTTTGGAGTGACATCTCAACTGTTGGATCTGCATGCCTCTGTAAAGACAATGATAGTGTGAATGATAGTGAGTTTTCTTTTTTTTTGGGGGGGGGGGGAGAAGGTCACCCTGCCTCAGTGGGAGACAGCCAGCATATTAACCCTTAAATGGTCCAAACGTATATATACGTTTTTTCAACATCTGAAAGTATGCAAAAAAATGTAGATCTTTTTTGTTTTACATTTGAAAACGTGTAAAAAACTTTTATCTACCTTTTTTTTTTTTTGTTATATTTGAAAATATGTAAAAAAACGTAGATCTACTTCTGTAGCACTACGAATTTGAACGTTGATCTGCTTGGACCGTTTAAGGGTTAAAAAAAAATTTTACATGTAAACATTGCTGGCACATTTACACTGCTGTTGTTGATGAGTGGTCATTTTTTACCAGCTTCAACACACTATTTTTTTTTCCTTTTTTATTTTCTACTAGGAAAAATTAATCCTTTCAAACTGTAAGAAAAAAATTCTTATTTTAATATTTTGCCACATACACAGAAAATTCTATTCTTGGTTATAACACAGTTTAATGGTTAATCACAAGAAGAATCTGGGTCCAAGAGAAGCTTAATTAAATAGCTTGACAGTGATGCCTCAGTAGTGTGGCACTTTAATGTTAGCTATGCAGAATACTCAGATGTAGAAAGAAATTAGAGCCATCTCTGGCATTTAGATAGTTGCAATTATTCACAACCTCAATACTGTGATGCTGGAAACTCACCTCAACTGCATTCATTCAGTACAGGAATATGCTCTAAAGTAGACCCACCATACATGAAAGTGACAATATACAAGTGCCTTGTTACAAGTTGCAGTGCTTGTTTAATAAGGTTAAGATAAGACAGTGTGTGCAGAATATGAAGAAAGTAAGAGAGACAGAGAGCATCAAGGTGACCCCATCATTCATACTATTACTGTCCTTGCAGAGGCATGCAGATATGAGTTTAGATGTCACTCTAAACAGCAGATCACAGAAAACAGTTATACTTGTCAAGGGAGATCTTTAAGTCATATGACACCATCCCTGTTCTGGAAAAGGATGCCTCAACAAACATACATTTTCAAGACAGAAAAATCTGCTCCAGGTTTTAAGGCAGCTAAGGATAGAAAGCTCATCTCTTCTGTTGTTGTGAAGAGGAAATTTGACATGTTCCTCCAAGGCATTTGTGTTCAGTTGAGCTGTGGTACCTTGCTTGACTTAGAGCTGCAGTACCAGCATCAACAACCTGACTGATCAGGTCATCAACCAAAAAAAAAAAAAAAAAAAAAAAAAAAAGTGTAGCCAGACACCAGGCCAAGTGAATAGTATAATATATGGAACCCACACGAAGATAATACAGAGTACTATCGAGGAATTATTAAAAGACTGAATGAAACCAAAACTAGCACCATGTACAACAGCAAGGGAAGTAACATAATAGAAACTATAAGAGTGTCAGCTTGCTGATCATTGCAGGTAAAGTGGGTATAAAATTTGCAAGTAGATTTTTTGCTAATATCCTCACAGCTTCTTACTTGACCATACTTACCATAGCATCTCCTCTGTGGTTCACATTAAACAATTAGTCCCAGATTACCAATATACATGGTGAGTACGTACAAGCAAGGAGCAAACCAGAAGCAGCTGACCTGATTTTTGAGGTAAGGGTCAGCCCCATGAGCCAGCAAGAGAGCACAGAGTTGAGTGCGAGCCTTCTGAGCTGCTTCATGAAGAGGTGTGAAGCCCCATCTATCTGTGGCATTTACAGCTGTCTGGAATCTAATGAGGAGAGCTGCAATATCCAGATGTCCATAAGAGGAGGCATTGTGTAGAGGAATGAGACCACCCTGTAATGAATTTGATGAGAAACTTCAGAAATTTTTTGATCTTGTTCAACAGATCACGTCATTATGAGTACAGTAAACTGTCCATTAATGCGAAGATCTAAATTTCTGAAAATTGGGGTCTTATCTAAAATATCTATAATTAAATGATGTGAAGAACACGTGGAAAAAATAGGATTATGTTCTAGATACCAAATTTGCCAAACAATTTTATTAATTTTACTACTGTATATAAAAATAATACAGTTTATCTTACCTTACATTCTGTTAGTTGCCACTTGAAGACTTTCAAGTGTGGAGGGAGGGTTAACATGGGCCCACTCCTCTGCATTAGAGGTAGGGAGGTTTATCAACTAGCTACACGTAAATAGCATAAAAATAAAATTCACATTTCCTTACCAAATTGTACCACACACAGGAACTCACCACACCTATAGCAAAGGAACATACAGTATACCAAAAACAAATGCATTTCATAAAGTCAAGGCAATGAAAAATATTGAGAGAGAGCTTCATCTATGTATGGGGATTATCAGGCCACCACAGCTTATGCCATATTAGCCCTTTTAGGGTCCAAACCGCAGATCTACGCCATGAGCTCAGCTCACTCTGATAAGCTGTGAGTGGCAAATTTGGGCCTAGATATGAGAGAATACATCTATGTGGTATGTGTGCACCACATAAAACAAATCCTGCAGCACACAGTGCATAACGAGAGGAAAAAAACGAGACCATAATTTTCAATTAAAATAGCGACTTTGCAGTGTTTTTTCGTATGATTTTTTATAGCTGTATTTGCAATTTCTTGGTCTCATTTGATAGAATGGAAGATATATTACAGAAATAGAGATGTTTTAGTATTGGAAATGGCTTGAAACTGAGCTCAAAGTAGCGGAAATGTTAAATTTTTGCCGATGTTCAAGAGTAAACAAATGACCTCACACGTCTAATACACGCCAGGTGGTGGGTCTGATATACATTCACAAATGTGGTGATATTATTTATACAATTATTACAATATTGCATAACAGTAAATCTTCTATTTTTTGGTTTGAATAAAAATTCATTATGTGAATAAAAAATCAAAATGGAATTCATTTGTAAAGCCTGAAAATGTAACTAATGAACAGAGGAAATGTTAGTTTAGTGCTAGGAATACCTGCATTGTTTATTCTGAACCCTATTTTGAAATTGGAATATTTTAAACTTTGCATTAAATTGGCCAAATTACCAATTTCCGACTTGGCAATTTCTTGCACTCAATCGATAGAACAGAAGTAATACTAGTGAAATAGCTAAGAATTTGGTTGACTGGAATAATGTAATTGGCCTAAAATGGGAGTTAAAGTCAGCAAAATCGCCGATGCGTAAATATCGCTGACACATCAAAATTCGCGAGAGCATAATTTCGTCAATTTTCCATCAAATTTCGTACTTTTTGTTTTATTACCTTCAGAAAAAGATTCTCTACCATTTCATAAGAAAAAATAACAAAATTATTTTTTGAAAATTCTTGGACCCTGGTGCACACTTTGAAATTTGGCCTCTGGACTCTGAAAGGGTTAAGCCCTCTCTGCTTTCCAGTGAGGCACCATCACCTGGACCCCTCAACATGTTAACACTGTAAAAAGAAAGCCACATTTCTTTATCAACGTGTAGGGTTAATCCAAACAAAATCATCTTAAGTGACTGAATATGCTCTTCAAATATTTTATGCAGGTATTTTATATAAATTAGGCACTCATCATTTAATAAAAGTTTGGAAAACATTAGTTAGGTAAGAATAATGGACATTTATTCAGTAAGAATGGTGAGAGGGTGGGGAAGGGAAGCACTACTCGGCCTGGTGAGCAGAATGAGAAAATCTATGGAGAGAATTACCCAAATTACATACATCATTTTTTTTATATGGTACTATGTATATAGGACAGGAGAGCCTGGCTTATACAGCAGGTTAGGTTCCAGGCTACCGTCGTTAAGTGATTCACCCTTTCTTTCACTTTTAAATGCATATAAATGCCTGATAATATGTTTACACTATCATATATTAAGTTAGCAATAGAACTAGGCATAAAAAAACAATAAAAAAGTAAAATGCACATACAGTACACTCATTATTTTAAAATATTTGTAGTCTCAATGCAGGGTGACAGGTGAGTAGTATTAATTGTAGGAAATCAGGTGTGGTAGCCTACCACACCTTACAGTTATGTTTGTTTTACTATGATTGTATATATTTTCTTTATATGATGCATAGCATATTTCTGATATAATTTAAAAAACATCTGTAAAGCACCCCAGAGTGATTATTATTATTATTATTATTATTATTATTATTATTATTATTATTATTATTATTATTATTATTATTATTATTATTATTATGCTTACTGCCATCGACATATCTTGCTCACCGAGTTTAAAAATGGATTAATGAAAATGTCTGTAATATCGTAATTTACAACATTTAACCCTTTCAAGGCCAGTTCTGTAGTTCTACTGCTTTGAAGCCAGGGTCAGTCCCATAGTTCTACACCATGAGCTCAGCTCACTCAGATAAGCTGTGAGCAGTAAATTTGGGCCCATGAGAGAATAGGTTTGTGCAGAAAGTGTGCACCGTATTAAAAAATATCCTGCAGCAAGCAGCGCATAATGGGAAAAAACTGCAACCACATTTCTGGTTTAAAACATTTAATTTGCTGTGCATTTTCATATGATTTTTATGGTTTAAGTCTCAGTTTCTTGGTCTCATTTGATAGAATGGAAGATATATTACAGAAATAGAGATGATTCTGGACTGAAAGTAGCTTGAAATTGAGCTCAAAGTAGCAGAAATGTTCAATTTTTTGCCAATATTCCAGAGTACACACACGATGTCACTCATCCTACCAACCAGTCTAATATGCATTTAGGAATGAACTCACATTATTCATAAATTACAATAATACAATAGTCTGCATAACAGTAATCATGGACCCAAAAAAGAGTAATGATCCAAACAAGTCTGAAAGGAAAGCAGTGAAAAAAGAACTTGCTGCAAACTGGGAAATTGGAACACGTGTCAGACCTGGCCACTCAATAAGGTATGGCAAAATCCACTATATCATCCATATTGAAAAATAAAAGAGGCAATAAAAGGGGCTGATGTGGCAAAAGGAGTGAAAATTCTTGCTGTGAAAAGGTCACAGATAACTGAAGAAATGGAAGAACTTTTGTTAGTGTGGATTAACAAAAAACAATTGGTTGGTGACAGTGTTTCTGAAACAATAATTTGTGAAAAAGCAAAGCAGTTATATAGCGATCTTAGGTGAGACTCCCTGGGAAACAGTGCTGAAAGTAATGAACGTAAGGCAAGTAGGGGCTGGTTTGACAGATTTGAAAAGAGGAGTGGGATTCAAAGTGTAGTAAGGCATGGGGAGGCTGCCAGTGCTAACAGAGATGGGGCTGAGAAGTTTGTTAGATAATTTAAAACCTATGTAGACATTTGAGAGATTTATTTCTCAACAAGTTTTTATATGTGATGAAACCAGCCTCTTTTGGAAAAGAATGGCTAAGAGAACCTACATCACACAAGAAGAAAAATCATTACAAGGACACAAGTCCATGAAAGACAGACTAACACTCTTGTTGTGTGGCAATGATAGTGGGGACTGCAAAATGAAACTGTTGCTAGTCTACCACTCTGAAAATTAAAGTATTTAAGAAAAACAATGTGATAAAACGTACTCAGTGTAATGAGGAGGGCTAATAGTAAAGCTTGGGTAGCAAGGCAGTTCTTCATTGACTGGATATTTGAAGTGTTTGCCCCAAGTGTGAAACAGTACCTTGCAGAAAAAACATAATCATTAAGGGCACTTCTGGTAATGGACAATGCTCCTGCTCATCCTCCAGGCTTGGAGGAAAATTTGGAGGATGAATACAGTTTCACTAAAGTGAAGTTCTTGCCCCCTAACACCACTCCTCTTATCCAACCCATGGACCAGAAGGTAATTTCTAATTTTAAGAAACTTTACACAAAAGCACTATCTAAAAGGTACTTTGAAATGACCTCTGAAACAGAGCTAACCCCTAGGGAAATTTGGAAAAACCATTTTAATATCCTCCAGTGTTTAAGGATAATAGACAAAGTCTGGGAAAAGTTTCTTTCAGGACAATGAACTCTGCCTGGAAAAAACTGTGGCCAGACTGTGTGTCAGACAGATATTTTGAGGGTTTTGAGGCAAGAGCCTGTACTGAAGGATATTGTTTCTCTGGGCCAGTCCATGACTTTGGAAATGGACAATGAGGATGTAGGGGAGTTGGTGGAGGATCACAAGAATGAGCTCACCACAGAACTTCAAGACCTGCACAAGGAGCAGCAAGAAGTGCTTGAGGAAATTTCTTCTTCAGAGGAGGAAAGCAGTAAGGGCAACATTTCCACTGCAGAAATTAAGGAACTGTGTTACCATTGGGCTCAAACACAGAGCCTGTGGAAAAATGGCATCCTAACATTACTATTGTGAATAGGAGCGTCAACCTGTTCAATGGCAATGTCGTTGACCACTTTAGAAACATTTCTGGAAAGTCGTCAAAGCAGACAACATTGGACAGCTTCTTTAGCAGAGAAAAAATATCAAATGCTAATGAATCCCCATCATCTTCAAGTGCTGCTGCACAGAGACAGAAAAGAGAAAAAACACAAGACATGCAGTTACAAGATATTTTTATTGAAGGTGACACCCCTTCCAAACAATAACATCTCTCTACCTTCCTTTTAGGCCATCAGTAAAACTCAGTAAAGGTAAAGTGCAGTTAATATTTCATTTATTTCATGTATTTATTGTCTTTATAGTTTACTTGTATGATTTTTTGCATGCAAATATTATTATTCAGGTTTAAATAAACAACATTTTCACTTAAAATGTTTTATAATCAGTAATTTTTGGGGGGTTTTACATGATGGTAGGAATGTTGGTGTCTTTTTTCTGTCTCATAAACATGCGAGATAACAGGTTTATCTTGCT